TTCATTTTTTTGTGTGTGGCTATTGGCTATTGTAAATGGGATTGTGCTTTTTATTTTGTTCTTTGCCTGTTTGTTGGTGGTGTTAAGAATGCGACTGTCTTTCGTATGTTTATTTTGTACCCTGAGACTGTGCCAAAGTCCCTTGTCAGTGCAAGGAGATTTTTGACAGATTCTCATGGATTTTCAAGATATAGAATCAAGTCGTCTACAATAAGGGATAACTTAACTTCTCTTTTCCTGTTTGGATATCGTTGATTTCCTTCTCTTCTCTTATTGCTCTAGCTAGGTCTTCCAGCACTATGTTGAACAGGAGGGGTGAGAGTGGGCATCCTTGTCTTGTTCCATATTTCAGGGGAAATGCTTCCAGTTTCTGTCTGTTTAGCAATATTTGTTTGTTTATTATAGATGGTTCTTGCTATTTGAGGTATGTTCCCTCTATGTCTAGGTGTTCTAGGGTTTTTATCAAGAAGGCTGCTAGATTTTATCGAATACTTTTTCTGCATCTAATGAGATAATCATGTGGTTCTTGTTTTTACATCTGTTGATATATTTAATTACATTTATGGTCTTACAGATATGGAACCAGCCCTTCATCCCAGAGATGAAGTGTACTTAGTCATGGTGAATGATTTTTGAGATGTGTTGTTGGATCCGATTTGTTAGAATCTTGTTGAGAATTTTTGCATCTATGTTCATCAGGGATATTGGCCTGTAGTTCTCTTTCTTTGTTGAATCTTTACTAGGTTTGGTTATCAATGTGATGTTAGCTTCATAAAATTATTTGGGTAGACTTCTGTCTTTCTCAATTGCCTGGGATACTTTCAATCAGATGGTATCAGTTCCTTCTTGTATGTTTTGTATAAATCTGCTGGAAAGCCATCTGGTCCAGGGCTTTCTGTTGTAGGTAGTTTTCTTATGATGGAGTCAATTTCTTGGGTTATTATTGGTCTGTTTAGGGTCCTAATTTCTTCTTGTTTCAACCTTGAGAGGCTGTGTGATGTCAGAAAGTCCTCCATTCCCTTTAGGTTTTCGAGTTTGCTTCCATACAGGTATGCATAGTAATCTCTGATAATCTTTTGTATTTCTTCAGGATCTGATGTCACTTGATCTTTTGTGGTTCTGATTATATTTATGTGGGCTTTTTCTCTCTTTTTCTTGGCCAATTTGTCTAGGGGCCCATCAATCTTGTTAGTTCTTTCAAAGAACCAACTTTTTGTTTTTTTGATTTTTATGATATGTTTGTCTTCTATGTCCCATATTTGGACTTTTACTTTGGTGATCTGGAGTCTTCTGCTGAAGTTAGGGTTTTGGTGGTTTTGTCTTTCCAGCTTCCTTAGGTGATTTGTTAGGCTGTTAACTTGTGATTGAGAAATTTTCTTGATGTGTGTTCAAAGAGATATGAATTCTCCTCTTAGTACTATTTTCTTGACATCCCAGAGGTTTTGGTAAGATGTTTTCATTTGTTTCCAGGAATCTTTTACTTTCTGTTTTGTTTTCTGTGTTGATCCAGGAGTTGTTCATCATCCTGCTGTTTAGTGTCCATGTCTTTGTGGGTTTGGGGGGAATTTTGTTGGTGTTGATATTTACTATTTTTCCACTGTGGTCTGAGAAAGTGCATGGTTTCTTATTTCGATCCTGTGAAATTTGTTTATGATTGATTAATGGCTGAGGATGTGGTTGATCTTGGAGTATGTTCCATTCAGTGATGAATAGAATGTATATTCCGTAGTTGTTGGAGTTTCTGGATCTCCCTGTTTATTTTTTTGTCTTGATGATTTATCTAGGGTTGTTAGTGGGATATTTAAGTCCCCAATTATGATAATGTTAGAGTCAGTATCTCTTTTTAGTTTACTTAGCTGTTTTATAAAGGTGGCTCTCCTGTTTTGGGTGCATGTATATCTATGATGGCTATTTCTTGTTGATGGATTAAACCTTTTAATATTTGTAGTGTTCTGTATCTTTTTACATTCTTGATAGCTTAAAGGTTATTTTGTCTCATATTAAGATTGAGACTTCTGTCTTCTTTTGTGTTCCATTCACCTGACTTTGAGTCTATTAGAGTCCTTTGTAGTGAGATGTGTTTCCTGGAGGCAGCATATCATTGAGTCATGTTTTTTGGTTGTTTGGTTGTTTCTTTTTTAATCCAGTTTTTCATTTTGTCTTTTCAGTGGTGTATTTAGTCCATTCATGTTCAGGCGTAATGTTGAGATGTGAGAGTTTTCCCTGTCATAAGGCTCTTATAAAGTTCTTTATTGTTGTTTTTGCTGTTTGTTTTTTGGTTTCCTTTCTCTTTTTGGGTTGCTATATATGTGTTTTCAATTTTGCTGTCATGATGCATACTGTATTGATTCTCTGTTTCCTGCATTTATTGTTAAGAGTATGACCTTTCTTTTTTTCTTTCTTCTGTGCTTAATTAAAACTTTCTTTAGTGTCTCTTGTAGAGCTGGTCTGGAAGCTGCATAATCTCTTAGGAATTGAATGTCTGAGAAGGATTTTAATTCTCTGTCACCGATGAAGCTTAGTTTAGCTGGATAGGATATTCCTGGTTGGAATTGATTTTTCTGAGAGCTTTGAAGATTGGACTCCAGTCTCTTCTAGCCTGTAGTGTTCTGTAGATAAATCTGCTGCTATTCTAGGTGGTCTTCCCTGGTAGGTATTCTGACCTTTCTCTCTTGGTGCCTTTAGAATTTTTTCTTGTATGCCTACTTTGTGTAAATGAATTACTATGTGTGTAGTAGTTGGTCTTCTCATTTGATGCCTTGAAGGGGTTGTCTGAATCTCTTGTGTTTGGATGGTCACATCTTTGATGATATGAGAAAAATTTCCTTGGATAAGTTTTCTTGGTTCCAAGGTGGTCTCTGTCTCCCTTTTGTCTCAGGAATGCTGATCAGCCATAAGTTTGGCTTCTTAATATAATCACACACCTCTTCTAGGCTTTGTTCCATTTTTTAAAACTTTCTTTCTTTGTTTTCAACAGTTTTGGTTAGTTCCATATTTCAGTCTTCAAGCTGTGAGATTCTTTCCTCTGCTTGGTTAATTCTTCTTTTTGTGCTTGTCGGTTTGTTATTTATTTTGTTTACTGTATTCTTTATAGCCATCATCTCAGTTATCAACTCTTTCATTCTTTCTTTTTGCATTTCTTTGTTTTTATTCATCCTCTCCATTAATACCTTGGTGGATTTGTGGTTTGAAACTTGTCATTCTGGGGGCTCTTTGTTGTTTGAGTTCTGAAGTCTGTATTCTGAGGTGGTATCTTTCCAGGTGTGTGAGGGATACCTGTGTTCTGTTGATTATTCTTCATTTATGATGGATTTTTCCCCCTCTTTATTTCCATTGCTCACTGATGGGGGGATAACTTTTACTACTGCTTGCTCAATCCCCTTTTCTTTCTTAAGTACAGCCTCTGGATTTGTGCAGTTTTGAAGCTGGCTGGGGGTGGGGAGGCTGTGCTGTCTTTTTGCAGTTTTGAGTTTGATTAAGGTATATTGGGGGGAGCTATAGTTCAGAAGCTACTTGCAGATCACAGTATCTGCACCATAAATTCCTGGGTTGTGGGCCTTCTGGAACCCATTTAACACTACCTTTCAATTTGTACATGCAGTGGGAGTGTATGTATACCCCTTGAAACCAAAATGAGATAAGAGAAAGGAAAAGAACAGAGAAAGAAAGAAGGGAGAAGATAGGAAAATGAAAAGAATGAAAGAGAAGAGGGAAAACAGACAAGCAAGCAAATAAAAATAAAATAAAATAAAAGATATACTCACTCTCAAATATACCCATATGCAAAAAAAAAAAAAGGAAAAAAAGGGGAAATCAAATCAGATGACACACAGAAAGATATGTACGGAGAGAGTGGGCCAGAAAAAAAAAGGAGCTCCTTTTTGTGGAATTTCAGGTTCCTTTCTTCTTTTTTTTTAAACTGGTATCTCCCATACACCGCTGCTTTGAGTTCACTGTTTCACCGTGGTAGGAAGCAGGCTCTGGTCTCCAGATCCTCTCTTCTACTCTTAGCACAGGCCAAATGAATGCTCTCCACCTGGGTCAGGTGCCCCATTGACTGCTGTGGGAAGGGGGAGGTGAATCAGATCAGGACTCATCCTAACTCCTCTGCTCCTGGGTCTTCCACTCTGATTGAACGTACCTGTGTTTGGTCAAAGAGGGTGGTTGGGCGTTTGACTCTCCCATGTTATATACTTGGAGTATCTTTTCTGGGTCTTCAGTGGTTGATCCCAGAGGGATGCAGTGATTGCCCCTCAGTCCCTGGTTGCAGACTGCTCAGCACTGGGTAAGTTAAAGCAGGTCTCAGCCCCGTTTGAGTACAGAGAAAATGGCATTGGCCTGCATCTTCTCCTCTGGCAGGGCTCAGCTCCAGATTCCCTCCCTGTACTTTCTCCACGGTTTGTGATGCCAGTGCCTGGCTAGTTGCTGCAGGAGTTGGTGTGGTCCAAGTGCTGAGAAGCGGCTGATCTCTAAAACCTTTTCCCAAGATATGCCAGGAGAATGGCAGATGTTTCTGTGTGCAGGAGGCGCCAAATTCAGAGCAGTGGTAAATTACAGCCGCTTCTGTAGGGGAACTTCTGGTGCTTGATCCCCTCAGTCAGACATTCACTCATCCCCTTCCACACAGATTTCTTTTGCACACTTCACCCATGCCTAGAGTTACACACTCCGTCTAGTTTCATCACCATCTTCAGAAAACTGATATAAAAATTTTAAAGGGAAAAATATTGAAACTGAGAATATCTTTTAACTATGGTAAAATACATATAAAATTTACCATTATAATCATTTTAAGTTTTAAGATAATATATTTGAGTATATATTATATTATGTTATGTTATGTTATAGCTATAGTATAGATATGTTATATTAAAGACACAATGTTTTAAAATGTTATATCTCTATGTGGTTAGGATTCAATTCAGACAAGTTGGTAGAAAGTTATATATTTATCTTTATATATCATTAAGAATAAAGCCACCATGAAATTGTTTACACAGGTCATTACTTCCTTCTATGTGGAGCGTGGAGGAAATGCTATGTCTTTCATGGGAAAAGGTGTTACCAAGAGCACAATTCTTTGCTTGCTTCACTTGTCTCACGAGATGATGGCCCAATCTGCGAGCTCGGTGAGAGCATTGAAAGCTGCCTGTCTTCTGCAGAATAGCATGAAAGGGATGTGCTGTGTCTAACACGTTTCAGGCTTATGAGCTTACTACATGAAAATGTCTCTTTTAACTTTTCTTTTTAGGAGACAGAAACAATTTTTGATTAAGATGTTTCTTAGAAGATATATATTATGCAAATCTGAATTTTATTTGAAATATATTTTGATTGAAATCTGCATTCACAAAAAAACTACATTTTGTCTAAATCATGGGAAGAATCATTTCTGTTTAAAAATTATCATTGAACTTTTTAAGGAAAAGCTGAGATCTTTTTGTTTGCCTTGTTTTGGCTGCATAATGGGTTAAAACCAAATCTTAAATAAATTTTTACTTTTTTTTTGAGTGGGATTCTCATTCTCTTCTGCAGGCTAGAGTGCAGTGTCATGATACGCTCACAACCACTGCAGCCTTGACTTGCTTTACTCAGGTGATCCTTTTGCCTCAGCCTTTCAAGTAGCAGGAATCACAGGTGCATGCCACCACAGCTGGCAAGTTTTTTTGATTTATTGTAGAAATAAAGTCTCACAGAATTGCCTAGGCTGGTTTCGAACCCCTGGGCTCAGGCAGTCCTTTTGTTTCCACCTCCCAAAGTATTGGGATTACAGGCATGAGCCACTACATCTGTCATATGGTTTTATTTTGTTTTGATATTTAAATAGTCAATCATTTTCACCTTTCTGTGTTTTATTTATATAAAGTTTCCTAAGTGTTTCAGTTCCCCCTTTTTTCCTTCTAGGAGTGGATGTCACTTTGGTTCTTGCCTTTGGGTAGTCATAATGAAGAACATACTTCTACTCAACAAGGATTGGCTTGGTTGATTCCATTATGGGTCGATCGGGACCCAGAGGTCAGTATAAAGGAGAATCAAGGTTATTGTGTTTAGATTAAAAGTGAAACATATGCATATGCGTATTCATATTATGGGGTCATTTTATTGATCATACATTATGTTTTATTCAGCCTCTATATTAACTTGGGCTGCTATAACAAAATACCATAGACTGGGTGGCTTAAACAGCAGAATCTTATTTTCTCAGTTGTGGAGACTGAAAGTCAACGATCAGGGTGCCCACATAGTCAGGTTCTGGTGAAGGCTCTCTTTTTGTCTCATAGCCTTCTTGCTGTGTACTCAAATGGCCTTTCCTTGGTGCATGCATGGTAGGGGTAGGGGTAGGGGATAGATTTCTTTCAAGTTACCAGTCCTTTGGGGTTAGGACCTCACTATTATGACTTAATGTAACCTTAATTATCTGCTAGAACACCTATCTCCCAAATATAGTCACATTGGGAATTAAGGATTCATCATATGACTTCTGGAGGGACACAATTCAATTCATAGCTTTCCACCCCGCCCCATAAAATTCATGTTCTTCTTCCCTCCTTAACGCTTTTATCCTACCTCAACAGCCTCCCAAGTCTTAACTCATTTTAGCATCATCTCTAAAGTCTAAAATGTCATCTAATTGTAATTTAAATCAGATATAGGTGAGACTCTGAGTATGAATCATTCTGAGGTAGAATTCCTCTCCAGATGTGAACCTGTGAAACCTTTCAAATCATGGACTTCTAAGATACGATGGTAGAATAGACATTCCCATTTCAAAAGGGAAAAATAGGGGGGAAAGGAAAGAGTGATGGATCACAAGCAAGTTCAAATACTAGCAAGGCAAATTCCATTAGGTCTTAATGCTCGAGAATAATGTTGTTTGACTTGATGCTGTTCCTTACAGGCACACCAGGGTGACAACACCTGTCTCTGTGGGGTGGCCCTATCCCTTTGGCTCTTTGCAAGGGTCCCATCCATGAGGCAGTCTTCAAAGGAAGCCCTGTCCCTGAGGCACTGAGCAGGGTCATCATCCTGACCCACTAAAACCAGAGAGATAGCCCCAGGAGGAAGCAATCTTGTCCCCTGTGTCTGTGGTGAGAGTGGCAGCCCTGGTGATCTATGAATCACCTTCTGGGTCAGTCTCCTCTTTTATTGAGAATACTGTGGTCTCCCTTATCCAAAAGCAGTTGGTAGCCTAATGCTCCAACTGTGCCTGCATCCTTCACCACCCTTCGTCTCCTTTTGAAGGCATTGTATCATCTCACATCATGACGAGAAGGAGGAGAGCACAGTACGATAAGATTATTTTGAAAGAGTACATTGATATAATTTTTATTACAGTATGTTGTAATTGGTCTTTTATTTTTTGTAATTGTTCATTTATAAACTAAGCTTCATCATTGGAATGTATATGTCAGAAAGAAGCACAGTGTACATAGAGCTCAGAACACTCTGTAGTTTCAGGCATCCACTAGGGGTCTTGGAACATATACCCCATGAATAAGGGGAGTACGACCATAGCACATATCTACCTGTAGAATCCAGAAAAGTCCAGCAGCCTTTCTGTATTCCATCCCACTTTCTCAGTCTTCTCTGGTTCACACTGGCAGTGACTTTGCTGATATAATCCCATCTCTATTCCTGGCTTTTGCCGAGCTGGCTGATTAAGTCCGTGAATTGCACTCATGATCTCTTTCTCAAACGGTTGTTCAGCCACACCCTCCATGTTCTCTTTAGAACAAGCTTTCTCAATTTATGCATGGATAGGCTAAGAATTTTCAAAATTTTCTTGTTCTTGTTTCTTTTTGCTTACTGGTTCTTATTTCCTTCTTTAATTCATGTCTCTCCTACATTTTGCTATAAGCAATCAGAAGGAACCAAGTCACTCCTTTAACACTTTGCTTAGAAACCTTTTCAGCTAAGTATCTAATTTCATTGCTCACAGGATCTACCTTTCACAGAACAGTAGGACATGACCACAGTTCAATCACTTTCCTTGCCACTTTATGACAAGAATTGCCTTTCCCCTTCCTCCTTTCCTCCCACCCTCCCTCCCTCCCTTCCTCCCTTCCTAAGTTAGAGTCTGATTGTCATTCAGACTGTCTTGCAGTGGCACAGTCGTGGCTCACCACAGCCTCAAACTCCTGGACTGAAGCAATCCTCTCTCCTTGGCCTCCCAAGTAGCTAGTGTATGCCATCACATCCAGCTGATTTTTTAATTTTTTGTAGAGATAAGGTCTTATATTGCCCAGGCTAGTCTTGAACTTCTGACCTTAAGCAGTCCTCCCATCTCGGTCTCCCAAAGTGCTGAGACTATAGGCCTGAGCCATCACGTCTGGCCCAATAACATGTTTCAGATGTTCCTCATTTTTATCTGGGATTTCACCAGAATTATTCTTACTGTCCATGTTTCTAGCATGCATCTCCAAACTCTTTCAGCCTCTAACCAATTACCCAGTTCCAAAGCCACTTCCACATGTTTAGGTACTTGTTTCAGCTGTGTTCTCACTTCTTGGTACCACAGTTTGTATTAGCGTGCTCAGCTGCCATAGCAGAATACCATAAATGAGGTGACTTAAACAACAGAAAATTGTTTTCTTACAGTTCTAGAGGGTGGAAGTCCAAGAACCGAGTGTCAGCATAGTCGGGGTCTGGTGAGGACACTATTCCTGGCTTCTCACTTTCTCACTGTTTCCTCACATGGTCTCTCCTTGGAGCACACACATGGTTGCACTCTCTTCCTAAGGCCACCCCTCCCAGTGCAGTAGGTTTGCACCCTTAACCTCATTCAACCTTAATCTCATTCAACCTTGATCACCTCCTAAAAACTCTGTCTCCAAATATGCTCACATGGAGGATTAGAACATCAACATGTGAGTTTTGAGGGAACACAGTTCAGAGCATAACAACCCCATTTCCAATCAAATTCATTAGTATACAGATAGAACATATAAAAGAGAAAAGATCGTAGAATCTATCAATTTCAGAAAGAACAGTGGAAAATTATTGGAGAGGCCTAGCCATTTTCAAACAGTTGAGAAGAATAGCTAGAAATTGTGAATTATGAAGTCAGATGACATTTAATTGGTATTAAATTAAGAAAGGAAGAACAAATAATAGGTACCCCTTTTTTAAGAATGAAGAGTATATCAGAATTGTGTTCATAAATGATAAGTAAGATGCCCATGCTTTCCCTAGAAATAGGCTTGTAAATTATAATTTTTCTGCCTCCTATTTATACTTGGTTTTTACTTGGTGTGAAATTTGCTTATATTTAACTTCTTTTACTTATATTATAGTATTGCTTTCTTGAATCATGGAATAGGATTTGTGTTTGTTCATAAACATACAGGAACTGAACTCCCTTAAGTGTCTATTATAACTTACGATCATAAAACCAATGTCATATTTTTTCAAGTATGATTTTTATGGTACCATAAAAATTAAGAATTCACATTAGGAAATAGAATTCTTTAATTTAGCAACTCTTCCTTTAATGTGTACAGGTGAGATTCACTTCACTGGCATTAGGAGCAGCACTGACCACCGTTGAAACTGGCTGTGTGGCCTTAGCAAACAGTTGTCAGAATATTTCTGGTGGACTCTGGGGAACTGTGGTGAACATTCTCCTGGACCAGTGGGAATGTAGTATGGTGCGCCGGGAGGTATGTCTATCTTTTTAGCACCTTCTCCCTTGTTTCCTTAGAAATTTTTTGTAGCCGGGCTCAGTGGTTCAGCCTGTAATCCCGCGCCTTTGGGAGGCTGAGGTGAGTGGATTGCCTGAGCCCATGGGTTCGAGACCCGCCTGGGCAGGCGAGACCTCATCTCTACAATAAATCAAAAAATTTAGCCAGGCGTGGTAGCGTGCGCCTGTAGATCCAGCTACTTGGAAGGCTGAGGCGGAAGGATCGCCACACTCCAATCTGGGTGACAGAGTGAGACTCCAACTCAAAAAATAAAAAAAAAAGAAATTCTTTGTGATTGTATCTATAAACTGTATTTGACTCCCCGTTCAGTTTGATGGATTGACTAAATGTTCTATCTGCAAAAACCCAAATAAAATGGCAGTAGAGAATCTAAAAGAGATTAATTCACAGTAAAAATTGGAGTCCTTTATTTTGATAAGATCAAATCAGAATATACTATTTTAATGTGAATGCTTCTAATTTATTGCCCATTGAAGGATAGTTCACAGGAAAAAATTGTTTATAAACCATGTTAGCATTTATGGGTCTCTAAGGTTTATAAAACTTTAGTTAAAGGTATGGGGCTGTCAAAATAAATTTTTGTAGTATTTATCATGTAACAAGAAAGCAAAAGTAAACCCTAGTTTGATTCTTTCCAAATAGTTTGTGGTTTTCTTTTTATTGCTGTTTTATTAAAGTGATGTTTCATGCAAATAGTTTTAAAGGAATAATCAAATTGTACTTAGGGGCTTATGAAGAGAACAGTAGCTTCTGAGTCTGCCATTTGTCAGTCCTCAGTTCTAAGCTCAGAAGGCTTGTTTTCATGTTACTTGTCTCTATGTGTTTGAGTAGTAATGCTTACAGTTATGACTTCTTGATTTATCAACTTTAAAGCTTTTTATTGATTTCCAGATAAAATGGTTGGAAATGTCATATGGGGGGCCAGCTCCTGCAGAGTTTTAGAGGGTCCCTGGAAGGTGGGGCAGCGTCGGCGATTATTCTGGAGACATAAAGAGAAAGAAAGAGAAAAGGGGAGAAAGAAAGAGACTGGACTCTGTCTAGTGCAGAAGCCGATTCTGTAGTAGGGATAGATATTAAAAGAAAGAAAGATGGAGGGATAGATATAAAGAGGAAGAAAGAGAAAGAAAGAAAGTGGACAACTGTTCAGTGAAATGAGCAGAAGCCGTTTATTGGGACCAACCGTGAGTCTTTTATCCCAAATTTTCACATGTTAAATCACAAGACTTTCACATGAACACAAGGCCAGGTGGATGAGGTGCATCCCCCCTCCCACCCACCAGGTGTTTCCTTAAGCATGAGGAAGGACAATCCCAATTAAATCACAAGACTTTCATGTGAACACAAAGCCAGGTAGGTGAGGGGCGTCCCCCACCCACCAGGCGTTTTTCCAAGCATGAGGAAGGACAATCCCAAAATTATCTCACTGTTCCTCATGCTTGGTTAATGTTCCTCACAAACAATACAACAATTCTAACATCATAATGTTCTAATAATCAATAACTTCTAAAACTTATGCATTCCCAACACCTAATAACTGACTTAAATCCTAATACCTTTCTATTCTGTGCTAATTTTACCTGTACTATAAAAACTCTTAATTATAGCTCAAACTGGTTCCTAAAGAATGTGGCCCAGTCCAAAGATCATGTTGGGCCATTTCCAGGAACAATTGATTATAATCTCTTAACAAAATGGCTATTCTCAAATCCTATGTATCTATCTTAATTTCTATAAAAGTTTCTAATTCCTAATCCTAATATATAAAACTGATTGTCAGTAATAAAGCTTCTAAAATAAAACCCAAATACAAACTGTAAATGTACTAAGGCCAAAACCACAATTAATAGAAAGTGGGAACAATGAAATTTCTAATGTTAGCTGTATTCTTATAAAACCTTAAAGTATCATGTTTGATCATGCTTGAACTAACATAATTCCCTCACGTAGCATGAACTATTCTACAATACTTTCTATGAATAAAATAAATTCAGTTTCTATTATAAGTAGAAAAAACCTGCATTAATTGTAGCTAAAGAACCAGTTTAAAAGAATGCAGCCCAGCCCAAAGTGGACGCTGGGTCCTTAGGAATGTGGCCCAGTCCAAAGTTCATGCTGGGCCATTTCTGGTAACTCCAGATAATCATCTATTCCATCTAAAGCTGGAAACAGCTCTCTAAATGTATACTAATTCTACAAATATACTTTTATAAAGAAGCTTGTATCATATATAAGGCTCCCAAATGTGACCTGAGTTTGAAGTATGTTAGGTTTAAAGCCAAAACTGCAGTCTGTGAGAAACGGGAGCAATGAATCCCTAGAATCAGCCATGCCTGTCATATTCTCAGAACTTCATGCTTAGATCATCAAAGTCCCTGCTAGTGGGTCATGCCAAACAACAAAGAAGGGAGGAGGGAATGGGCCTTCAGCTCCTGAACGCAACCTGGTGATCTCAGGGTCCGCAGCCCACCTGGATCCCTAACGCTCAGGCAGGCCTCCACGGCCGGCTCCCAACAATGTCACTTTCTTAAAATCCCTCATTACTCTTGTTATTATCCCATTATAGCTATGTCATCTTTTAAGTGGACAATCAGGGCTTCTATTTGTATAATTATTTAGCTTGATCATCTTTAGGACCCAGTGTGTTGAGTTGGACATTTGTGGTTTATATTTCTAGTTAGCAAGTTTTTGTTGATAGGCATCCATATGAGAGAGGGAAAAGGTAGGGGAGGTGTATGTGTGTGTTTGTGTGTGTGTGCGCACGCATATGCATGTGTCATGTGAATGCCTGTGTGTATATGTAATCTGTAAGGGCATAATATGAACCTGAAAGTATATTTCTTAAATGCTATCAGAACAGTTCATGCACTTTTTGAATAAAACTAAATTCTGAAATTGGAAAAATATATTTCCTGGTGAAGTATTTTTATATACTGTTAGGTTATTAGCTAGCAAGGTTGTTACCTAACAAGAAATAGGGTTTGATAGTTTTTATAATGACCCTTGGCTTGTGACCAGAGATACGGCTTTTGCTATTAAATTACAATATATTGGTTATTTCAGAGATGACAACAAGATGGCAGTATTGACTTTTTTTTTTAATTTTCAGGCTGCATTTATTTTTCAGAATCTCCTTGTAATACCAATGCCTACAGAAATTGTAAAGGATTATACTTGGCAGGTGGGTGATTTTAAACAATTATCAACCTAGTAGATATTTGTGATTAACTGGCAATAAATTTTCAACATATGTATGTTTCATTATTGATGAAACCATGTAAAAGGCAGCAAGGATCTCTTAAAAAAGAATGTACAAGTTTTTTTATGCTTGGTTATACTTAAAAATTCTTCTCCATGGTGCTCAAAAGGATTTTAAACAAATAATAGTTAACATAATGTTTACAATGTTTTAGATGCTATTCTAGAAACTTAGCACATATTAATTTGTGTAATTGTTTGAATCGTGACCTATTATTATGCTCATTTTATTGGCTTAGAAACTTTAGCATAGAGAGTTTATGTAGTTTGCCTAAATCACACAGCTAGCCGGTGGTACACCTTTGCTTTCAGTTCAGGCATCCTCTTGTCCCCATCACTATATTGCCTCTCTAACAATAATAAACGAATTTGTTTATAGTTAAATATGCATTGATGTTAACATCTTTATTCCTTTCCTTGGTTAATTCACAGTGTGGGTCATAAATGATCTTTCTTTGGTTTCTATTGAATTATTTTTTGATTTCATCTTCTGAATATGATGTCACTAAGTAGCTGCCTAACATTTTTTATGGCTTATGATTTTTAGATAATTTGGAGGGTACAAAAGTATACTCACTGGGAAGATATGCTCTTTTTCTACCCTTTTACTTACCCACATATCATCATCTTATAAGTTCATATTCATCATGCTGTCATACCTCCCTCCTTAGGATTCTGTACAGATCTAAGGTTCTTCCTTAAGATCCTGTACAGATCTAAGGTTTATATTTAATCAGAATACTCCCTTAGAGGAATTAGTACATCAAACTGAGCTGCAGCAAGGACAGGTTCCAGGGTACCACCTGAAGCATGAATCCAGCTGGTGCTCAAGGCCCAATTGCATTTCATTCCTGGAAGATGTACTTCTCCAGACGAAACAAACCCATGTTTACTCTGCCAATTATTATAAACTCCAAGCCACTTTTCCTCTGGTTCCTTGTAATTTCTTGAACATTGCCTTCTGATCATGGTTGCTCATTACCAATTTTTAATAAAACCACAGGAGACAAAATTAGAAGGAATTTATAGTGTCATATTAATAGTGTAGTTGTTTTGATAAAATGTAGTTATCCAGTGACTACATTTTAAAACATGTTTCTGGTCAAATACAAATCGTCTCCACTCCTAATGTTAAGCTGGTGACATTTGTACTTGGTATACTTAGTGATGTACTGCCAATGAATTTTATATTATTGAAATAAGTATAATATAAAGGCAAGGGTACTAAGATTTCTGGGTTATATTAAAGCTTTGGGACCTTATAGTGTAGAGCGCCATATATAGAAATTCATATTTTTGTCTTACAAATTAAATAGTGGTTCCTATTTGTTGATGACACACTTATTGCAGTTTGCTGATTTTGTTATTCTCCAGATTTCATTATGGAAATCATTTTCTACTAAAAAGGTGAAAATAGTGGCTTAAGTGAGCTTTTGGAGTTTTTTGTCTTGCCTAAGTTGGTCAAAATAAAAAAAGTTGGAGAGCCACTCCAATCCCAAATAGTGCTTAATAATGAAACTTTTGCTAGTCTAAAGAAAAGTTAGAAAAATAAAGGCAGTATTGCATTTTCCAAAAGAAACTCTCTCTTTTAAAATCTTTTCTTCCTCTATTAAAATGTTTTTTTTTTCTTTTTGTATCTTTAGAGACGAGGTCTCACCAAGTTGCCCAGACTGGTCTTGAACCCATGGGCTCCGACAATCCTCTTGCCTCTGTCTCCAAAGTGCTGGGATTACAGGCATGAACCACCGCACCCAGCTCTATTTTTTGTTTTTAAGTGTTCTCACTTAGCGGGATAGTTGGTAACAAAGTACAATTTTATAGAAGTTTAGTGGTATCTGAAGTCCCAAAGTGAAAATAGCTGCTGTAAGAAGGGAAAAAGATGGTTGTCTTCAAGTATAGATAATGGAGTTTTGTACTCTTTGAGAAGTGACTTTTGCAAGTTTGTTATATCCAGGAAGAAGGAGCTACATATCCAGTATTTTATAATTAAAGTCTTTGGTAGAATTATGAATAATAATCATATCCCAAAAATGTTTACTTATATTGGTCTATCTTTTATAGTATTTTGGAGAATATTACATGAAATAGCATGTTTAGGAGCCTTGTTAAACTTTTATTATAGTTGAGTTAAATATTTGTTTTTTTAAACATAAATAATTGCTTTTAATTACTTGTACTGTCTTTTGAAGGCTGCAGTCTGAATTGATGCCCCCTAGTACTCTCGTTTCATGGGAATTTCGGCAACATTCTTTTTACAATTACTACCCATTTTTCAATCCTTCTTCCACACACCAGCATAAATTCCTATTTCTTGTTACTATCTGGAATTGCTGTACTGCTGAGTATTAATAATATGGACATATTAATTATGAATTTTATAACTAGTTGGGTTCCCTTTCCTGGCAATTGTTCAATGCCAGGAAGTTTAGAACCCTCTACTCAACTGTGACTTTTCCTTATATATATATATATATATTTTAAGATGGGGTCTTGCTATGTTGCTCATGCTAGTCTTAACTCCCTGGGCTCAAGCGATCCTCCCACCTCTACTTCTTGAGTAATCTGGGATTATAGGCACATACCACCACACCTGACCAGTGTATACATTTTAAGCTTTATTTCTGGTTTCCCTTTTTTCATACCTCTGTTTTTTCTTTATTTTATTCCTGATATACTTTCACTATCATGTTAAAACTTACCTTTCCTAGTAATAAGCCTTAAATCTTTTCTGGAACAAGGTAGGGATTAAATAATTTTAAACAATTTTTAAAATATTTAAAAAAATATTTTCACTAACCACTACAATCTATTTTAATCTTCCTCCAAAAGACACTGACATTTAATGTCTTTACCATTAAATTCATTTTTTTCCCCATATACTATCTTTACTGCCTTATCTTATTTCTTACCATTTAACTTAAACTTTCTAAAGAGAATATTTGTTTCTGAAGGTTAGGGCCATAATTTTTATGTGTGTGTGTATATATATGTTTTAAAGTTTTAAAACAAAGTTTATTAGAAAAAGAAGAGAGAAAGAAAGGAAAGCATACCAGAAACGGCATCCATAACTTTTATATTTTATTTATTTATTTATTTATTTATTTAGTCAGAGTCTCACTCTGTAGCCCAGGCTGGAGTTCAGTGGCACACTGCTCACGGCCACCACAGCCTACACCTGCTGGACTCAGGGGATCCTTCTGCCTCTGTAGCTGGAACTACAGGCACTATTGGCCACCATGCCTGGCTAATTTTTCTTTGTATTATTTTTATTGTAGAGGTGAGGCCTTGCTAAGTTGCCCAGGCTGGGCTCGAACCCGTGAGCTCAGGCAACCCTCTCTCACCTCAGCCTCCCAATGTGCTAGGATTATAGGTGTGAGCCATCACGCCCAGCCACTTTTATATTTTAAAAAATGTTTTTTTCAACCCCTTCTATAGAAAAGGCAAGTGCTCTATCAGTCTTGACTGATTCATTAAAATGTGGAAAGCATTCAAGTTATCCTCTTAGTCTTAATATCATTAAGTAAATAAAATTTAAAATAACCTTAATTTTTATAGCATAATTCCTCATTTATTTTTCTACAGATACAGACATGTACTAGAAGTAGGGTGATCACAAAGGTGAGGAGCAGATAGAGAGTGCATTTTAGCATGACTCCCCTTGGCACTCAGCATCCCTAACAGGGACCCTGAGGGAGGCTTCTGCTGGGTATGAGAACCAACCCAGTTTTTGCTGGGTCATTTTTTGGTGTATCATACTATGTTATATTCAGGTGTATCATACTATGTTATATTCAGGACATATTTGATATTTTTTTAGAGGAGTGTTTATAAACATTCATCTTGTTCTTGAGTAATCTCAGCCTCATCAAAGCTACATTCCTCTCTCAAGAAGAGGAAACAGAATCAATGTCCATGTGACTTAAAACCATATTGTGGCCCCCAACTGTTCAGTGTTTTTTTACCGGTTTCCTACAGTCTGACTAGGAGTTAGGACTCCTGAATGTGAATGGTTCTGTTGCTGGGTTTAGTTTGAGAACCAGTGTCATAAATCCATATCCTTTGTGACTTTAAAAACCAATCTTAGTTGATTATAATAAAAAATCAATTAGAAAAAGTACACCTATTGATCTGAGAGGGATTATTGATGTACTTTGTTTTAGTTCACTTTAAACACTTGTTGAGTGTATAGATGTTGGAGTTTCACAGATGGTCAGATTTAGTCCTCTGGGCTTATGCTCTGCAGGGAAAGACACATAACCTGGGAGCACTGTTGTAATATGTATGATGATGGTAGCTCATGCATAATTATTGTAATATTGAAGTTTTTTTTCCACTTGAAAATGTTACCACATTTAAATGTAAGAGTAATTTCATGCACTTAAATAATAAAATGGTTTTCAGTTTGTGCTGTAAACACACCTGTTCATGCTTTAACTTATTTCCATGTTTGTGATAGGACTTTGAATTGGCAAATACAAGGGAGAACCCTGAAAAAGCCAGAATTATCTTTTGGAGAGTATACCCCTTGTAGTACATTTGGAATTTGTTCCTTTGGATCAAAGAGTCAACCAAAATTTTTATCTATAAGTTTTGAGAAGGCTGCAACACAATTTGTGGAAGAAACATCCCAAGTTGTGACAACAGATGACTGGTTCTTCCACCATGACAACACACTTTCCTAAAGGCATTGAGTGTTCAGCAGTTTTTGACCAAAAACCATATGACCCCCATGTCCCCACCCTCCCTGTTCACCCAGTCTCACCCCAAGTGACTTTTTAAAATATATATATCCCAAGCACCTCTTTTTTTGTTTCCCCGGATGATAAAAGTCCTCATAGGGGAACATTTTGCCGATGTGGAAGAGTTGAAACAAATGGCAGAAGCATTAAAAGGCATCAACATTGACAAGTTCAAAAACTGTTTTGAGCAGTGAAAAAAGCATCTTGATAGATGTATTGCATCAAACGGAGAGTACTTTGAAGGTGACTGAAGTCTAAACATCTAGGAATAAATACATAATTTTTTATAAATAAATTTCATGTTTTGGAAACCCCCCCATACACTTTATTTTTTAATTTTAATTTTTTTAAAAATTTTGAGTTGGAGTCTCACTCTGTCACCCAGACGAGTGCAGTGGCCGCTCCCGGCCACCGCAGCCTCGACCTGCCAGGTTCTGGCGATCCTTCCGCCTCCACCTTTCAAGTAGCTGAAACTACAGGCGCGTGCTACCACACCCGGCTAATTTTTGATTTGTTGTGGAGATGAGGTCTCGCCAAGTTGCCCAGGCGGGTCTCGAACTCATGGGCTCAGGCAATCCACTCACCTCAGCCTTCCAAAGCGCTGGGATTACAGGCTGAGCCACCGAGCCCGGCTTCACTTTATTTTTTTAAAAACTTTTTTGAAAAAAGTTAGATTTATTGAAAAGTTGCAGGAACAATACAATTTTCATATACTTTTCACCCAGATTCCCCATGTGTTATTTAACACATTTTCTTTTGCTCTGTCTAGCATCTTTTTTTCTGAAGTGTTGGAGATTCTTAGACATATTGCTTCTTTTCCCCTAAATACGTAAGTGTGAATTTCCTAAAAACAAGGATAGAATTACAATAATTATTACCAAAATTGGGAGATGGTTCATTTTCCAGTTGTTGCACACCTGTTCCTTATAGCAAAAATAAATAAATAAATAAACAATAAATACATTCAGTCCTGGATCTAGGATCCAGATCAGAAATACACATTGCATATAGTTATCATACCTGTTTGCTTTCTGTTATCTGAGATAGTTTCCAAATTTTTTATATTTATGACCATAGCATTTTTGAATAGTACAGGTTATTTATTTTTTGTGGTATCCTTCGACTGGATTTGTCTTTTTCTCATGGTTAGATTTGGACTATGCATTTTTGGGAGAACCATAGAAGTGATGTGTTCTTCTCAGTGCATCATCTCAAGAGATATAATATCTCTTTTTCACTGTTTGTGATATTAACTTTGATAACTCAGTTAAGATAGAGTCTGCCTGTTTTCTCCATTGTGGAGTTATAATTTTCCCTTTGCAAGAAGGTGCTTTGAGACTGTGTAGATATCTGTTTCTCATCAAACTTTCTTTCACTAGTTTTAACTTTCATTCGCAATTCTTGTCTGAAACCGTTGTTGCTGAATGTTACTAAATGATTTCTAATTCCATCGTTTCTTTCAACATTTTGTCACATTCTACTGTAAGGAAGAACTTTTCCTTTTCATCTATTTATTTATTCACTTATTTATATCAGTATGGGCTCAAGGATTTTTAGTTTGTTTTGTGGGTTATAATATATTTATATTATTATTTGTTTAGATGTTCAAATCATTCGAGCTTTGATCAGGGGTCTCTTTATTATGACTCTTGTATTCTTTTAACATGTCTTTATCAGTCTTTGAGCATTTCCTTACTTTCTGTTATAGCAAGGTCAGATATTTGCTCAAAGGGCTCTGATTTCATTTCATGGAGAAGATTTAGAACCCCAAATCTGGGTTCTAGATATGTTCATTGTTCCTGGGCGCCATTTCTTGCATACCCTCTCAGTGGACAAAGCTAGTAACTCTGTGTGTGTGTGTGTGTGTGTGTGTGTGTGTGTGTGTGTGTCTTTTAGTCAACTCATTTATAGTTATGGTAGTCATTGTTTTCATAGTTTATGTAATTAATATTTTAATCCTTTACTGTATCATTATGAGTATTTCCACAAAACAATGAGTACTTGGTAAAGTGATCTCATTGGAATGATATTCATAACTTGCATGTAGTTAAGGATTTCTAATGTATTTAGGGCCATTTTTTACAGTCTTTGGATTAGATTATAGCATCTTCACTCGTTATATATCAAAACAACAAAACAACTCTTTTTTTCTTAGAAATAGTAGTTCTTTATTGTTCTTCTTACATGTAATTCTTATTTTGCTTCTGTTTCCTTTTCAATCATAGTCAATGGGCATATTAGCACTGTGACAGTGGGAATAAAATATGTTTTAAAATTAATATTTTAATTTATTGTATTCTCAAGAAAAATGTTTTCAAATTAATTGGCACTTCCTGTTACATCATTAATTTGCAGTCTTTGTCAATTGTTGATAATGACACCTGGTCACTTGAAGAGTTTTCTTTCTTTGCATACTGCCCTTCTCAGCTCCCCCTAGCACTTCAGCAGATGATCTGGCAGCCCTGGCACTCACCTGAGGGCAGGGCTGGTAAAGACATAGATATCTTGAGACAGAACAATTAGACCCAAGGGTGCTGTTTCCCCACCATGCCAGAAGACAACGCCATCAATTATTGAAGGATCTATGGAACAGAGCCTAGTGCCTGTATGAAAGACTGCATTGTTCTGGCCCTTGCACAATTAGCTGTCTGTGAAAGCCTGAGTCAGGTCATCTTTTGTGCATATGCTGGGCTTGTTTCCATAGCCATGAATAAAGCTCTGTTGGTAGTATTCCATTGCCACTAGGAAGTTTTGGCAAGTTGAGAATGGGATTCAGGCTTAATGCTTAGTTAAAAGAAATCAAGTAAACAATAAATAATGGTTATATAATATGTACTTGTTTCAGATCACTTTGCTTTCTTTTGAGAAGTTAAAAATATTTTGAATGAATTAGTTGTTTGAATTATTTAGAAGGGATTTTGTTTTCTAGTAATACATATAGTTAAAAGAGTTCATAGAGCTTATAGTGAAATTCACTACCCGTCTCCATTCACTGAGACAGCTTTACCTCTCTGATTTTAATTCTTTAGGGAGTATCTAAATACTATATTTGCAAGAATATGTTTATTCATTTACTACCTCATAAGGTTTCAACTCATTTATTCAATCTCCTGCCAACGGAGTTGCATTACTGTTCTTAGTTTCTCCTTTGGTCACCCTGCTATTGGTTTTCTCACTCACACATCATATCTCTTAGTGCCCCATTTAGAAGAGGGAGAGGTGGCTGAGATATTCCTATCCTTTTCTTTCCCAATTCTAATGCTAATCTTTTACAGTTTTTTTTTTATTAAATTTTTACTTTGTGAGGGTTGATTATGTTTACATTCTCTTCTGAAGTCTGATTTTTATCTGTAGGTTGACTAGAAATTGAAAACCAGTAATTCACTACAGAGTTACTTACCGCTCTGGTTATACTCTTATCTCTGCTTCTAGTGCCGACCCATCTAGTACTCAGAGGAAAAATTTCCTGGTACTTATGTGTATGTATGTATATATTTGTATGTACATGTGTGTGCGTGTATCCATATATATATATATATATATATATATATATATATATATATATAATTTAAAATATTGATTTGGGTTTTTCCCCCTTGGAATTTCCGTTTTTCTTGTATTGTGAGTCCCTATCATGTCTCAAATTCTAAGCTCTTAGTCGTGCTTTCTCTTCTATTATTTCCTCAGAATGATTGTACTTCTACCCTATAACAAATGCGTGAGAGAGAAGTCTCATGAGTTCTTGCATTTTTGGAAATGTCCTGAATCTGCACTGGACTGATAGTTTGGCTAGTTACCGGATACTAGCTTGAAAATTGTTCCTCTTAAGAATTTTTCTCCACTGTTTCTAGCATCCAGTACCGCTTATGAGAAGTTGGATTTTCATCTGATTCTTTTTGCTTCTTTATGGCTTTTTCTTTTGTCATCTTCTCTTTATCTCTGATGCCCTAGAATTTTATGATTATGAATCTTTTTCCATTTCTGTTACTTGACATTCTTAAGTTTGAAGACTTGGATGTTTTTAATCTTTTTTGCACTGTAGATCTTGTTGAAGAAATTGTGTGATAAAGCAGTGTCTTTCTCTTTTTCTCTTCTTTTCCTATAGGGCCCCTGTGTCCATGATGAGGACTCTGGCCTGTCACTTATAGGAAAACCTGCCCTTCAGGCTCTTTTATATCACTGCCGTTTTTACGAACACTTGAATCAGATGGTAAAACATTGTTACCTAGGATTGTATTTGTTTGATTTGAATTTTCCTGCTTTTGTTGGAACTTCAGAAGGCAATGATTTAAATGGTAAGTACAAAATCTTTATATTTTTATTTTTATAAAATGTAACTTTTAACCCTTTGCCCTCAGGTGTTCCCTTTGAGGGGACATTGTAAATGTAGCAAACCACTCGGATGTCTCTTATAAGGGGACATAAAGAGATTGCTGGTGATTAAACAAGAAAGAGATTCCTGGTGATTAAACTTACACCAGTGCAGATTTTTCAAAAATGTATGTTTTCTTGACGTTCTTCAGATTGCACAAAACAAATAAAGAGATGAAGTATATACTGAGATGTGATTGATCAGTTGGGTAGTGGTTTTTAGGAATCACAAATGTTTCCTTCCAACATTTTCTTCAAACAACAAACTAGACAAAAAAATTACATATTCTTAATGTGGGAGGAAGAAAATAAGACTGCATTGTCTGCTCGAAAAACACCAGGTGGAAGACATCAAACAAATTACCATTGCACAACATGTATCAATGAACCTGCAATGCATGTCATTGATTGTTTCACACATTACCACATGTTGGAAAAATATAAGATATAAACTTTTGATTTTTTTGGACGTAAATAAGTTTCTCAATGTCCAAAATTCCATTGTAAGCCAAATATCAATAATAAAATAATTGGTTCTAACACTAGAGTATTTAGCATGAAGTGATTTGTTTTTCACTATTTTGTAAAGAAGTGTGGTTGAGTTGCAAGTGGGTGATCCACGAGATGTCTCTGAGTGAAAGGGCTAAAAAATTGTTACGAAAACATAGGTTGTTTAAAATATCTGGAAGAAAATGAAAAGTACACAGAAAAAACATTCAGCCCCAGTCCCACTATCCAGAGAATACCCTTGTTATATTAGGGTATATTTTCTTCAGGTCTTTCTCTATATAGTTTTTGTTTGTTTCATGTAATTGTGTTTATACCTTATGTACATTTTTGTATTTCCTTTTCTCACTAAACATAGCCTAAGCATTTTTCTGTTATAAATTCTTCATGGAAACCATTCTTGACATCTTATTAATGTTTCATAAGTTATTTTAGATCCTTCAGTAAAATTTTCTAATTTCTTTCTCTATTAATATCTGAAACTATTTGGAACTTTTATTTCTATGAAGTCTCCAGTTTTTGTCATCCTTCTTATGAATGGTACATTTTCTTACTAAAATTTTAAATTCATTTTGCTAATGTATCAAAAAACTATTTAGTTTTGGTGTGTTACTCATTTACCAAAATATTTTGCTGAAACCTTTTTTATATCTATTCATTTGTAGATTGTCTTAGATTTGCTAAGTATAAGATCTTAGCAATAAAATAATAATCATATAATAAATAATAAAAGCAGCTTGTATTTGTAAAGTAAGTTAAAAAAATTTTTTTAGACTCTTGAAATAATTTTACACTTACAGAAAAGATTTAAGAATAGTACAAAAAAATTCCAAAACAAAAATACAGTTAACATTTACTGTATTTACTTACCTTTTGTGTGTGTAGATAAAATTATTTATATACATATCTATATGTATTTATATATATTTTTCTGAGCCAATTAAGCGTAACTTGAAGAAATGAAGTTTTTTTGCTTCCAAATAGTTGTGAATTTATGATTCACTTTTCTGTTTACTTCTTGGAGGAATTTATAAGAAAATGACATTTGATGAAAATTTGAACATTCTAAATAGATATCCCTATTAGGAAAATAACTCATTTGATTGTTTGAGTTTCTCTGGATCAGTTGCTTAAAGCATGACCCTTGCACTAACAGCATTGACATCTTCTGTGAGCTTGTTAGAAATGTATACTCATGGTCCCTACTCGGAGTGAGGGTATCAGAATCTCTGGGACCAGGGCTCAGGAAACTGCTTTGACAAGCTCTCAATGATTCTTAAGTACATTACAAGACTCTTTTCTTAGGGTTTTTTTTTGGTTTTGTTTTTGTTTTTTAATAATGGTCTATCTCTAAAGCCAGATTTGTGTAAGTTTTTTTTTCCCTTCTTTAGTTTTTGGTTGGTTTCCTGTAATGAGTATTCTTCTCATTAATTGTTATATTACCCAGGAGAATGCCTGTGTTAATAGTTTTCTTATTGCAGGTTTAGATGACTCATTCAAGTTTTGGAGGGCTCCATCTAGGATATTCAGTCATGATCGAGATCCAAGTTCTCTCTCTACCTCAGAAACAATGGTACTTGTAAAGAATGTATAAATGCTTAATTTTGAGTATCTAAAAAAATCTGAGTTTGCATGGTAGATAAACAAGAATACAAAGTATAAGGTTATGAATATAACAGCTATGATTTATCTGAAGTGCTTTCTGTGTAGAATTCTGCCATTTATTTATAATTAAATAATTATAATTAAATAATATATTTAAGTTATTGTATTTAACCTGTATATCAGCCATATAGTGTAGACTTTTTTTTAACTTTTCCATATAAGCAAGTCACTCAGAAATTAAGTGACTCTGTGATCATTAATGCTACAAGCATCCACTAGAGTTTGAAGTAGGATTTGCCATGCTCCAGTATAGCTATACTGAATATCCCTTTAGTTGAGAGTTTTCAACCTCTCATTCCTACATTTTTTGATAGTACAAAAGTGGTAAAATGTTTATCGCTGTAACTAGTAGAAGAGAACAAATCCTATATGATTAAAGATATGTAATTACCCTGTAATTATGCTTAAAGGAAAGGCAATATGAAGAAAGTTGACCCATTCAAATAATTTCAGTATGGTACTGACGACTTTAAACACATTTCTAAATACTTGAAAAAGACAGAAGCTTGTCTTGCTTATCTGAAATGTCTGATATTTTTATGTGCCTGTGTGTGTGTTTTTCTTCCTTCCTCTTTCATTCATGCATAAGTTGCTTTTTTCCAAGAAAGCTTGGGATGCTAAGTATTAATAATGACTGATACTAGTTTTCAGTTTTTTACTAGCATACAGAATCATTTACTCTCAATTGAAAAACAATACATTTAATTTTAAAGTGTTTCTTGGAAGAATTACTGTGTTGTAGAACCCATTAGGAAGGCAAAGATTTGGTACCCCAGCTTCCAGGAGTAAATATGAGAATACTGAATAATAATAGACATTATAACTGAAAGATTATGTTTAATCTGTGTTCTACAGTTTCTCAAAAGACTAGTACTTTTTGCCATAATTTTAAGAGTAATTTTTTTTCCTAGATTCAAAAGAGAAGTATTTGTGTTTAATGCTAAATTGGATGTTTGTATGGAAAAGTAAGATAATTACCCCAGATCCACTAGATGGCATGCTTTTCTTTCCAACCTAGAAATAGTATGTATTTTTGTCTCAGCAAGATAAATAATTTGATTAAATGCTAAAGCGAGTTATATTAATTGATTATTTAGTTCACAAAATGACAGCATCAGTATGTGTGTAAATTTTCTTAGGTTATCCTGTTTGTTAAAAGGGCTATAGACTAGTCTGGAAATCTTTATACATTCTTCAGTTCTTTGCTTATAGTAGGTACTCTATAAATAGTAATTACTTTGAATTATCTCAGCTATTTAGCAGATGACACTCAAGTTGTATTTATTCTATACAAGAACAACTAAGTACAAAAAGCAAAAGCAAGTAGAACTTCATGCATACCTTTGTTTTATAATAATATATAAATCTTACAGATTAGAATACTAGGTTTTTGGAGAACATTTGGGTCTATTGTAATTATTATTAAAAATAGAAGCACCTTCACCAATGTTAAGATGTTTTACTTGTTTGTGTTTGGCTACCACAAAATTTTAGAAATGTATGCCAGTGAAATCTATTTTTTAAAAAAGAATTTTGATATATAGTTCTATTTAAGATTAATTTTTTATTATTTTTTCCTAAAGACTACTATATTCTGTTGGAATATTTACAGAGTCTACTTTTTTCTTTCTTTCTTTCGTCTGGGGGAGGAAGTATTTCCAAACAGAAGTTTTAGAATTGGTGACTTTTTTTCACAAAAATAGTCTAATTACCCTAATTCTACTGGTTATCATAGTTAAGTATTCTAGGAGCCCATCAACATCAGTGTAACAGCTAACGTTGTTATGAGAGGATGCATTTGATTACAGTGAATTTTTTTTTCCCCGAGGGTAACAATTTTAAAATAAATATTATTTTAAATTGACAGATTATATACATTTGTGGAGTAGGGTACAATGTGATGTTCTGATATATGTATACAATGTGGAATGATTAAATCAAACTGATTAATATATATCACCTCACTTGCCTATCATTTTAAGTTCCCTTTTATTTTTAGTTTATTTTGTAGTAAGATATTTTATATTTACGAAGTCATTTTGAAATATACCATACATTATTATTGACTAAAGTTAGCCTGCTGTGCAACAGATCTCAAAAATGTAACAATTTTAAAAATAGTTTTATTGAGATGGTTCTTTCAACTTGTTTACCCATTTCTTGATATGTGATTTACAAGTGCACCTGCCCACACCGTGCTAAGTGTTCAGCAATTTTTGACCAAAAATGGCCTACCCCCACGCTCCACCCTCCCTATGCACCCAATCTTTTGTTTCTCCAGATAAAAAAAGTCCTCAAAGGGAAACATTTTGTCTATGTGGAAGAGGTGAAACAAAAAACAGCAGAAGCACAGAAAGGCATCAAAACTGACAAGTTCAAAAACTGTTTTGAGCAGTGGAAAAAGTGTCTCCATAGGTGTATTAAATCAAATGGAGTATACTTTGAAGGTGACTGAAGATGAAACATTTAAGAGCAAACACAATTTTTTAAAGTAAATTCCAAGGTTTTGTTGGGTCCCCCTTATATATTTGTTTTGTTTATCTCAGATTTGAAAAAAGATTCAATTTTTTATTAATTGGCTTGTTTTTCCACTTTATCTTTCTAAGGAGAGCATTATCTTTTGATTTGGTTCATATCATCCAATGTGCTATCAAAATACCAAGTTAGGGACTTTAATGCTATTACCTAATGAATATCATTAGTTCAGTTTTTTGGCAAACTTTGTAAGGATTGGGACCTGTTATGTTTTATAAACTACTAATAGAGTAAGCAGACTGTCATTGTTACCTTGGGGGCATTGCCCTTGCAAGTGCCTTCTCAGAAGTGGCTTCTTTCCAATTCAGTGTTCTCTTCCTGTAGGTTAGGAGTCAGGCGTTAGTTACTGCTTTTCCTCCTGAAATCACGTTTACACTTATTTGAAGTATCCAAGGTGGATAGGTATTTGTGTCTACTGCATATCAGTGTGCAGCAATAGCTTTATAACTAAAATTTGGTCTTTTCTGTTGCTCTTGAGTAGAATTTTGTCTGTATTTTTAAAAATCTGTTTTATCAATTGTAAAAATGAAGTACATGAGATGTCATTTCCTTGTGAAATATGTGATTCAAACTTTGTGGAACACAGATTTAAGAAAACTGGTTATAATTTATTTAATTATTTAAAGATAAATTTCACTCATGAATCTTCATAGTCTTAAAAAAAACCTGAAAATCATTCTTACTATTTTATAAAAAAAAAAAAATTAGGGCTTGGGGTAAGGTCCCAGTCTATGGAGAAGATCCTTGTTCAACTTCTCAGCACCTGTAAATAGACCATTTTTTGAATTTGGAATTATTTGATTCCAGTTGTTGGCCATGAAGTTATACTCCTTCACTTCAAAGCCAGATATGATTGATGCCATAATATAATGTTATAGTCAAGATGCAGCAAGTTTTCTTTAGAAGGAATTATGAAATAGAAAGTGATTTTGTGTCGAAAGTGAAAGTTAAATGGCCTTTAAAAGACTAACCCCTTCTCTCTTATATGTATGTATACAAGCATTTGCAAGAAGATGAAAAGATCTAAATATGTCTTAGGATTCAGTGCCCACTTGGAAGTGTTAAAAGTCTAGTTGAGAATATAAATCATAACTGAACATAACTGAATTCCAAGTTGTGTTGTACTGAAAGCATTAGGCATTCAGACAGTGTATGAGGTGTGGAGAAGAGTGTAGGAAGAAGACTGAAGTTTTATTACCAGAGTAACCTGATAGGGTTGGTCAAGAAAGCTGAGTCAGCTTTTGGATTTGAAGAGGTAAAAAATATAATAGCTATAAAGATAAAGATATAAGGAAGATAAAGACAAATAGAAGAAAAATAATTTTGACATAAATATTATTGGTAGAGCATATAAATACCTCCAGTATTGGTGACCCCAGGAAAACTTGACAAGATGGCAGTTTGCATGATGATGAAGAGAATGGGTACACTTTGTTTAAATAAGTTTCAACTACCTGTGGATTACCCAGAGTCTAAAACATAGTATATTTTAGTTAGAAGGGAAACAAGTGAGATTCTAGTTTCTTAGTATTGTTAATATAGGCCACTGGACTATAGTATAATGAACAAGGATTTTTTTTGGGGGGGGGAGTATGAAAATTTCATGTTGATTCTGTTAATAAACCTTAAATGTTCATGGTTGCTAGTGTTACCTAGGTATTTTTATTCAAATAATATTTAGTATGTGGCATTAGAATAAATACAATGGCAGGTTAAAATAGAATATTGATTCTGTTCTGTGTGCATAGTATATATTATTTTGTAAAGCATTACCCTTTTAAAAAGTTATTTAGCAAGAGGAAATAATATTTCTTTTGGTTTTCTTTTTATCTTGTGCTCACTTGGGTATATTTTGAAGCTTTCCAGGCTAAGTTACTATAGAGTTATAGTAATTACTATCAAATGCAATTATTTAAAGAAACTGACAAAAAATATTTTGAAAAGATTTTAGCAATTTTATTAAGCAAGTAGCTATAACTGAAGTAAATAAAATAGGTTTGGGTCTTATTTTGTATTTATACTAAAATATATTTTCTTACTATCGGTAATAACATGATCATTTCATATAATAAATTTTGATGTGTGAAGAGAGACAACTTCCTGACTTAGAGCTCAGGTGACTACATCCCCTAGTTTGCTGTGTGCTGTTACCTATGTTAACCAAGCGCTGTAAATGGATTTAATTGTTAAATCCTCTCCATTTGAGGATAATACCCTTTTTGCACACACGAAGAACCAATGTCTTGCAGATTTTGAGTATTTGGCCCAAGCTCACAAAGCTATTGGAGAATGAAATAGGACAAGCTCTGGGAAATTTGTACACTTAAGTTATACACAGGGCGGCATAGGGACTGTGACTATGTTGTGGTATTAATCTTCTGCATAAGTGGCCTTCTAGTTAGACACGCAAGAATCTTCTGTCATCTTCTGCTCATTCCTTCAGTGATATTTTCTGGGCTTTTTTTTCATATGATCCAAATGAATTGTGCATTATATATATAATCCATTTGAATCATGAAATCAGTTGAAGTGATTTAAACTTATTGTTATAATTTAGTTTGAATTAATGATTACAGAGTTTGAAGCATACCAAAGCTTTTTGGCTCTTGGGCATAGAGAGAAAGGTATCATTTAGTTTAAAAATGAGCACATGGATGTGATACATATACTCAATGGAATATTATGCAGCCATAAAGAAAGACAAACATATGGACTTTGCAGCAACTTGGATGGATTTAGAGTCGATCATACTGAGTGATCTATCACAGAAACAAAGAGCGGAGTACCATATGTTCTCACTCATAAGTGGACCTTGAACAATTATCATAATACTGTAAGAAAGGGATTGGCAGTAGTGGGAAACTGTCAAGGGAAGGGGGGTCGGATTGGCAGTTGAGGGAAAATGCTAGGGGAGGGAGGGGCATACCTCATTAACAAGGGTACCTGCATAATCAACATTTGTGCACCTAACCCTGAATTGTAACCCATATCTTTATTTTTAAAAAAATGAGCCCATGAAACCTATAAGCCCTTGTTTTAAAAAGTAAATGTTGTCGGGCTCGGTGGCTCAGCCTGTAATCCTGCGCTTTGGGAGGCTGAGGTGAGTGGATTC